CTGCTGAAGGACTTGTTTGTGACAGCGTTTCAGGGATTCATGTGAAAGAAATAGTTAATAATGCAAGAGATCAAACCAGTTTTCCTCAACTACTGAGGACGCACTGGCAAGCTCACATTAGAACAGCAATAGTACTTTCCTCCTCAGCTTTTCCAGTTGCTCAGGTCCTTTAGCTTTCTCCCTGTAAGAGGGTTAGCCATTTTGTGGGAGGAAAAATGAAATTAATAGGTCAGTTGTCAGAATTAAGTACACACCTGCCTGAATGCAGACTGTCTCCTACTTCTGAACCACAACTGGGGGTTTGTCTTCTCTTGTATACCAGGTGTTCATGTTGCTCTTGCATTGCTTCAAACACAGCTGTGACATCCCACTTCAGCCAGGGCTGCTGCATTGACTGTTATCAGATTTTGTCCTCTTTTCACAGAAAACGGCCAGTGCCATGATCCCACACCCTGAGAATTAACTATTTTATTCCATGCTCTTTTGCTTTTTTATTTTATTGTTTTATTTTTTTTTAAAGATTAAAAAAAAAGAAAGGTCAGAGATACCTTGATATTGATTGCATCTCAGCTAATACTCAACTCCCCAAGGCCAGCACCAGTTGTCAGAGCTGGGCTGTCTCAGCTACACATACAGAAATAATTTTAAAACCTGACCTTCAAGCGCTGTAACACAATAGGTGGAGAGGAACCATCAATACTGTGAGGAGCTGCAAATCAAGAGCCTTATTGGGAAAGAAAACCAGCAGATGGGAAGCTGCAGTCCCATGCAGCCCGCACCCCAGTGCACTCCCTGCCTCCAGCAGGCGCTGCCCAGGCAGGTGCTGTGCAGCAAACCTGACTGGCAAAACAAACTTGTGCAACACATTAATTATAATCCTGTGATAAAATTCCCAGAAAAGGAATTCAGCTGGGAATCTCACAGAAGCAACACAGCAGCATTGATTCTTTCTTATTTCAGGGAAGGGTACCAGTTATTTGTTATCCCATTAAGGCTTAATATGAGTAATATGTATAATTTCTTGCAATGTATTACTTCTTGTGTTATTATCAATATAGTCCTCATTCAAGCCAGTTATAATTTCCACTTTAAAAAAATGACATCAATGAATTAAGTACAGTAATATTTTCTTTTCAAGAGCTGTTTCAGGTAATTGCTTTGACTAAAGCTGGCTTTAACACTAAAAGAAACTTTGAACAAGAGGTAATCTTGTTTCAGGGAAGTTAAACAAAAGAAAATAACTGAAGCTTAGAAAAGTCCAATAATAGTTCGGATTTAATCTTGTTAGCTCAGTAGGTAGACTACAACTACAGCTCTAAACTCCAATACATAACCTCCACTTTTGTTATTAATTCATGACTACTAATTAAGCTGGATACAGAGCCCAATGGTAAAGGATGGATACACGGCACAAGATTTTTCTTCCACTACTCCATATTTATTGATATATTTGCTTGTTGCATTTTCCTAGAGCTTACTGTTTTGGATTCTGGGCCAGAAAGGTACACAAAATTCCATCAGTGTCACCTAAAGCTCTGCAGTCACCAGGAAACTGTAATTTTAAACCTTCTGCAGCCAAAACCTGTTCCCACAACACACTTATGAAGTGTCAGATGCTACAAATGCTATAGTTACAGTACTATGCACAAGATACACCTCCATTTCTGATGTTGAGCCAATATTATTTCTTCCCCACTTCCACTTTTTTCTAACATGTGTTTTTCTCCAAATTCTCAGTCTCCTTGCCCAGCCACAACCCCCTTCAGCAGAGATCTCCCCTCTCTACAATGCAATTTTCATACAACCATCACCTCTCCACAAGCCATTTGAACTCCAGTCCCTTTGCACCCTCCTCACCCCTTTGGTTCCTGACCTATTGGCTCAGTGACTCAATGTTTACAAGTTTGGTTTTGAGTCTGCTGCTATTTCACTTCCTATCAGTCCCATCTCCAGCTCCAATCACTGTCTGCTTCCTCGCTACCCAAGCCAGCCAAAATGCACAAAACCTTGCCTCCCAGCAAGGTCTCCCATCTGCGAGGGGCCTTTGAGAGCACACAGGACTATCATTTCCAGTACTCAACTGTGTATCCAAACCCAGAATGCCATACAGTAACCCAGAGTCAACAGTTACAGAAATGTCGTGTTCACCACAGAGAACATTTTTGAGGTAAGTAAGCCACATCGTGCTACAGTTCCCTCCAAGAATCATTAAAGTGAGTTTTCAGTGTCTTCTAGCTTGGTTTGTCACAGCAAGGGGAATTTGCCTGACACCTAAGGGTCAGCACCACAACTGGTGCCAGGTACCTAGTACCAAAGATGCTTAAAAGCAGAGGTCACTGGTGTGTCCCAAGGCTGAACACTTACATGGTGCATGTACAGATGCTGCCACAAGTACCTGGGCCACTACTGTGAGAAGTTTGGGCTGTAATGGCTGCTTCCACCAAGTCACAAATAACAGAGTAAGGGACTGAACTAAGTGCTCACCTCACCGAAGAGATGACATAAACCTGAACTAAGCTCTCAGAACAGCTGCATCAGGCTGTAAAGATGTATTTAAATATTATACTTCCAGGCAGAACGAGAGGAGCATTTTTTATAATCTGCAAGCATTCACATCCAGAATCTCTTCTATTCACTAAAATGCTCTTCTAATAAGAAGTCATGACAAAAGATTAACAAGTTAGAGGAAGTAAAAAAAGAAAGTAAAAGTGGAATAACAGAAGAGAGATGAATCAAGAAATTCTGTTGTGCATTTAATGCACTTGGAAAGATACGGGTACACAGGTGCCGTATTCACACCCAGCAGCCAACTGTGACTGCTGGCTTGCTGGAGCTACACTTTCACAAGTCACATTCACAAGCGGTCATCCAAACTACTGCCATGTATCTGCCCGGGGGACACTGCTTTTCAAAGCCATATCAATTTCATACAAGGGTCTGGAAAGAGTTTTAATACATGTACTATCATGACAAGGTTGAATTTGATTAAAGAAATTCTGCTAAAGAAACAGGTGAAGTGATTGAATATATCATTCTGCACTGACATTTAAAAGATGGGTGATCACATGGGATTGGCAACTTTAAAAAGTAGTATATAAAATACAGGGCATATTCAAGCAGACAAGTTAACAAAAAACATCGCAGAGTACAATACTTGAAATCACAGGCTGTGCTATTACAAATCGTCTATGTTCAGCAGCAGATTACTGGCCCTAAATTCTGAATTAGAAAATTCATTTATTTCCCTGCAGGCAATGAAGAAAGGACCCTAACCCGGCATGCAAATATGTTACATTAAGGACATCTCCGCTCTGAAATACAAATGCCTCAGTCTATGCCATCAGGGTGCTAACAAATCACCTACATGCATGGAAATTTCAAGGGATAGCCCATGAATGGGTGAATGCTTGACATCAATGCAGTTTCAAAGTCAAGGCATCTTCAAACATAATTTAACAGTTGTAGAATCCTTTTCTTGTTGGGATACATGAGAACCAGGGTAAAACATTTACTGCTCTAATACCAGATGCAGGTGATAACTACTCATGTTAAGAAAAAAAATTAAAATTAAATATATAACAATCTACATAGAACAATTCAGAAAAACTTTAAAGGAAGACAACTGCTGCAGTGTTTGCTTTAACAGTCTGTTGACAAAACTGAATCTCCCCAGCTGATGGCAAAGTTCTAATGACTGCAGCACATCAAAACTGCAGAAACTGAAGTCTGCAATTTCACAATTCCTGATGTGCTTTCTCACTGAAGTTATTCATCATACAATACTTAGCTGTAAGTTATAAAAATGCTGTTTACTGACTGCTCAGAATTTTATTTAGCTCTTCTCTCGTTATTATCTTCCAGTGAAAATGCTGTCAGCCTCTCTCAATGTTTTAATGACACAGAAGAAATCAGAAAAAACCACAGAGGCAGGTTAAAGAGTAATTAATACCTAAAGTTTTTCTTGACAAATAATGCAGCTACTAAAAAATCAAGTGTATCTTGCATATATTAAAAGGCAGCAGTTTTAAAACCCCTAAAAATACTACTTGCGTAACAGTGTTTATGTGCCCCTCACTTTCAGGGCAGCCTCCTAATTTCATATGCTGGTTGGTGTGTGTGTTTAAATGAGGAATCCAGGAAGAAGACGAGAGCTGGCTCAGAGCATGGTGAAGGTAGGATTTGAGGTACAAATGAAAATCGTTTTATAGTAGCTTGCTCAACAATTCTACTTCTTCAGCCTTCCACCCAAAAACATGGTCTATTAATATATTCTCGTTAACACTGTGTAAAGCTAAAAAAAACAAGCTTCAATGAAACCAGCAAGCATCTGTTGATGCACAGTCTGCTTCATGCGTACAAGAAGCTTATAGCAGGCTGCCTAGTAGGATGAGTTTTGTTCTAAAGAAGCATCAAAGTATTTTTCTGATCTTAAGATTCAGTAAATTCTCAAAGGCTTTTAATAATACAGTAGTTCTGCATTATCAGTTCTTTAAAAAAAACTCCTAATAGTCACCACTTATAGACTAGTTTTAACAGACTATATTATTTCACTTAATGCATTATTGAGAGGTTTACTGTCCAGGAGACAGGCTGGGACCACTGTGATCCATCAAGTGGTCCATTCTTAAAGATGACAGTTTAGATAACATCAAGGAGGTTTTTCAAAATAAAATACTACTAAAAGCCACATCATTATGACTGAAGTGATTGATTTCATTTCAGGCAAAAATCAAGCTAATACTCTCACTTGTTTAAATTAGTGTTCTATAAAACCCAACATTTATCAGAAAATAATCTATGGACAACAGCTTCACTTAATAAAAAGAAAACTTATCTGGAAGCACTACTGTGTTCAGTACTGCAAACAAGTGCATTTTAGACTGGCCATGAAAGTGACAGCTTGATGGCTTCAGTCCTTCCAAGTCTTGATGGACAGCTAGAACTGCATTTTTAAGAAATGTACACTGAACAATCAGGATTTCATGGAGCTGCAAAAGCCACCCAGATTCACATCTGTCACAGTGAGATAGCTATGCAGCTGTTCTGAGATTCATGGCAATGCTGTAACCAAATACTGTTAACTATCGCTATGGACTCCCTGTAATTAGCTTAGAAATAACACTTTCATTGCTCAATATGACTAGCCTACTGGGATGCATGCTGGAAAACACACTATGCTTTGCACATCTGTTATTAAAGCCAGCACTCTCAGATCATGGATTTTTAAAAATTATTATTATTTTCCTCTGGGCAAGTCCTTCCTCCTCTTTTGCCACAGCTCTCTAGGAAAGTCTGTAAAGCCCAGACAAAGCCCAACCCGCCTCCCACGGCCCCCCGACAGCAAGCGACCGACGGCCGCGAAGGAAGCGTTACCTCCGTTGATTGGGACGGGAGCCACCAGCAGGCCCTTGACCTCCACCTTGGGGGAATCTTGCCCGTAGCGGCCGCGGTCGATCCTCAGCAGCGTGGGGCCGCCCCGCTCGGGGCTCAGCACTG